CTCATATATATATATCTTTCTCTCTCTCTCTCTCCGTTTTTTGTTTGCAAATGCAGATCGGACTCATTGGAGGAGCCACCTCCGCTCACCGAGGAGATGTCGAAAAGGCTGATAAGAGGAAGGAGATCCCAGACACCAATATCCATTGTGCTGAATCCTGAACGGCCAAGGAATCAGATCCACTTTCCAAAATCAAATTTAGCACTCAAGGTACGTTTTGAAATTGCCTGGATACTACCGTCGTCACCTGATAGAACGCCTGGTCATATCGCTGTATCTAGACTGAAAGTTGGCCCGAACATTTGGTTCAATTTTTGTGTGTTTAACCTATTTATGGTGCAATAGAATTAGCTATATTTTATGCTTTTATTTGGCAAATTTCTCAAGACGAAATAGCTGACAGATCTAATATGGAGACTTGAAGGATAAAAAAGACAATTAATAAAGCACCCATTGGAACTGTTTGTCAGAAACCATTCTAACGAAAAGGAGATATAAATAAAGATACATATAGTGCCAAGTAAAAATCAGGCCTCAACCATACATATAGCTCTTCATTTCTAGTGTACGGCTAGCGGGACTCGAACCCACAAGGCGCGAAGTGCCGCCACATCCTAAGTGTGATGCGTAAATCAGTTTCGCCATAGCCATTTCTTTCTGGAATATGGATACAAGTTAATTGCCTGAAAGGAGTATAAGCATGTCTACCCCATTATATCCTTATGGGCACAGCAGGGTTTGAACCTGCGACCATTAGGTTAAAAGCCCAAGCAAGAGTGCGCATTGTACAGAAATATATTGACCAGGCGTTCTATTCAGGTTGAGATGGTAGGCGAACAATTTTCACACTATTGTTGAAACTTGAAGCTTAAGAAAACTGCAAAGAAACGAACTTCAAGAAAAAGGAAAGAGAGAAACAGTCTGAAACAGTGGCGGTCCTTTTGAATACTCTTTTGTTCAGACTCCACACTGTCTTCGGCCGAATAGAACACACCCCGGTCATTATAGCTGTATTTGGGGCAACTTCAGTCTAGATACGGTGATTATTGCCATGCATATTCTATTCGGCGGAATGCGGTAGTCATGGAAGATTAGATCTTCAGCCGTCAGATGCTCCTCTTGCAACAAGGGGCGATCCTCTCCTCCCACCCCAAAGGTTTGCCACATACTACCGTCTTCACCCGAATAGAATGCCCGGTAATTACCACTGTATGTAGACTGAAAGTGGGATAAATACAGTTATAATGACTGGGGTTCTATTCGGGTGAAGACGGTAGCTCCGGCCAAAGTTCAATGGTGTCTTTGGGTTGACAGTAACTCGATCAGCAGTAGCTTGATCTGTTTTCCTTAAAGAGTTTCATGTTTGACCAATCACAGTGCAACTTTGTTTCCATTGTGCCCTAACCTTGCATGCTTCAACACCAGCAAGTGGGGTCTCTTTGCCCCCCCACATCTTCTCTCACAATCACATCCTCAACACTATTCTCCACCTTTTATGGTACCCTACTAGTCCATGTCCTGGATATTTTGATCCGACGCGCTGGTTAACCTGCTGGGAGAAAATAAAAAGCAGGTTGGGCCTTCCATATGAAAAAAGTCTGGAGGTTGGCGCCACCATGCAAATAGTTTGGCAACACGGGTTCGACAGGAATCAGCGTGCGGCAAAAATCCGTGTCGGCGAAAAAAAGGCTCGGGTGGACTGGTGGTTTTAAGTACAAGAGAGGAAAGAAAAGAGAAGAGTTGTCATCAGGTCAGGATGCTAAGGCCATGACTAATGCGTCTTGAATGAGTCCAGAAACTGCAATGAAACATAATTGTGGCAAATTTACAATTATACTAGGCAACCAGCCGGGCCGCCCAGGTCACTCTGTTTTCCCGGGCGGCCCGACCGTACAAGGACCAGGGAACAACTTTTGCCTCAGGGTCACATCGAAATTCTTTACCAAATTTAAAATAAGATTTTTTTTTCTTTTTTTCTTTTGGCCTGGGTGGGCAAGTGGTCCCGGCCACTCTGGTAGCCTAGCAATTATATTATTATATAAACAAAATAACAATAATTAGATGAAAAATGAAGAGAGAATTTGGCCAGCGTAAGGAAATGTTGTTCAAGCCACTAAATGTCGCAGTGTTCAAGCTCACGGATGCAAACGCCCACACTTCACCCTTCACTCTGCTCTTCACTACTCCACTCTGCTCTTCACTACTTCAGACTGCTCCGCTCCACTCCACTCCACTCTCCTCCACTCCACTCCACCCTACTCCACTCCACCCTACTCCACTCCACTTCCCTCCATTTCGCTCAACTCCACTCCACACCACTCCACTCCACTGTACTCTACTCTACTCCACTCGAGTGTACCCTACTCGACTCTATTTGACTCGACTCTGCTCTACTCTACACTACCCTACTCTACTCTATTTTGCTTTACTCTACTCTATTCTACTCTAAACTACTCTGCTCTGCTCTACTCCACTTTGTTCTTCACTATTCCAATCTGCTCTACTCTACTCCACTGTCCTTCACTCTCCTTCACTCCATTCCACTCCACTCTACTCCACTCTACTCCACGCTACTCCACTCCACCCTACTCTACTTTACTACATTCGACCCCACTCTCCTCCACTCCACTCCACCCCACTCCACTCCACTCTACTCCACTCCACCCCACTCTGCTTTACTCCACTCGACTCCACTCGACTTCACTCGACTCCACTTGACTCCACTCGACTCCACTCGACTCCACTCGACTCCACTCCCATATACTCCACTGCATTCCATTTCACTCCACTCCGCTCCATTGCACTCTACTCCACTCTACTCCACTCTACTCCACTCCACTCCACTCTACTCCATTCTTACTCTGCTCCAATCCACTTTGCTCCACTCCACTTCGCTCCACTCCATTCGCCTCAACTCCATTCCATTCCACTCGCCTCCACTCCACTACACTCCACTCCACTCGACTCCACTCCATTCAACTCCACTCCACTTCACTCCACTCTACTCTGCTCCACTCTACTCCACTCGACTCTACTCCATTTTACTCTATGCTACTTTACTCCCCAACTCGACTCCACTGCACTTGACTCCCTTGCACGTGACTCCACTCCACTCTACTCCACTCTGTTCCACTCCGCTCTGGTCCACTCCACTCCACTCTGCTCCACTCAGCTCCACTCCTCTCCGCTCCACTGCTCACCTCTCCGCTCCTCTCTTCTCCACTCCTCTCCGCTCTACTCCACTCCACCCCACTCTACTCGACTCCACTCTACTCCACTCCACTCCATTCGACTCGACTCCACTCCACTCGACTCCACTCCATTCAACTCGACTCCACTCCACTCCACTCTACCCCACTCTACTTCACTCAACTCTACTCGACTCCACCCAACTCTACTCTATGCTACTCTACTTAATGCTACGCTACTCTACTCTGCGCTACTGTACTCTACTCTGGTCTACTCTACTCTACTCTGTTGTGCTCTACTCCACTCTGTTGTACTCTACTCCACTCTGATCCTCTCCAGTCTACTCAAGTCTACTCTACTCCACTCGACTCCACTGCACTTGACTCCACTCCACTCCACTCCACTCCACTCCACTCCACTCCACTCCACTCCACTCCACTCCACTCGCCTCCATTCCACTCGCCTCCATTCCACTCGCCTCCACTCGCCTCCACTCCACCCCACTCCACCCCACTCCACTCCACTCTGCTCCACTCCTCTCCCCTCCACTCCTCTCCACTCCTCTTCACTCCTCTCCTCTCTGCTCCTCTCCTCTCCTCTCAGCTCCTCTTCTCTGTACTCCTCTCCTCTGTACTCCTCTCCTTTGTACTCCTCTCCTCTGTACTCCTCTCCTCAGTACTCCTCTCCGCTGCCCTCCTCTCTGCTCCGCTCCACTCTACTCCACCCCACGCCACTCCACTCCACTCCACTCCACTGCACTCCATTCCATTGTACACAACGCTACTCTACTTTGCTTTACTCTACTCATCTCTACTCTAATGTACTCTACTTTACTCTTCAGTATTTTACTGTACTGCACTCTATGCTACGATACTCTTATCTACTCACTCTACTCTACTCTACTCTACTCTACTCTACTCTACTCTACTCTACTTTATTTTACTTTACTCTACTCTACTTGGTTCCACCCTACTCTACTCTAGGATACTCTAGGATACGCTACTCTACTCTATTTTATTTTACTTTCAACTCTACAATAGTCTATTGTACGATGCTCTACTCTACTGGACAATGCGATACTCTACGATATGATAGTTGACGGTACGATATTGTACGCAACGACACTCTATTCTTCGATACTCACTCTACGATACTCTACAATACTTTACTCTACTATAATCCATTCTACAGTACTCTACTTTACGCTACTTTACTATGATCCACTCTACCCTACTATGTTGGACTCTACTCCACTTTACGATACTCTACTACATGATGCTCTACTCTGCTCTTCCCTACTCTGCTCTACTCTCTCATAGTCCACTCTACTCCACGACACTCTTCTCTTTGATAGTCTACACAACTCTACTTTACTCTACTCTACTCCACTCTACTTTACTCTGCTCTACTCTACGATACTCTATGATTTTCTACTCTACTCTACAACACTCTACGCTATGATAAGTTTATCTACTATACTCTACTGTACTCTACTCTACTCTACTATACAGTCTATAGTACTCTATACTCTACTATACTCTATTTTACGATACTCTACGATACTCTATCGTACATTTCGATATTCTTCTCTACTGTACTTTATTTTACTTTTTTCTACTCTACTTTACACTACTCTACTCTACTCTACTTTATTTTACTTTATTTCTCTACTTTACTCTACTCTACTCAACTCTACTTTGCTCTATTTTACTTTACTCTACTCTACTCTACTTTACTCTACTCTACTCTACTCTACTCTTATGTACTATACTTTATTATACCATACTCTACGATCTTCTACTCTATTCTACTTTACTCTACTGTACTCTACCCTATGATACTTTTATCTACTATACTCTACTCTACAACACTCTACAATGCTCTACTCTACTCTACTCTACTCTACTCTCATATCCTCTACTCTACTCTACTCTACTCTACGGTACGATACAATACGATACGATACGATACGACGTCATAGCATACCATACTCAATTGTACTGTACAATACTCTTCTCCAA